GATGTTCCAGGAGGGATAAGCCAAATGACAAATGATTTAGGTAAATTAGAAAAAAAGGTCAGAGCAGTGGCAACTGACATTTAATGTGGATAAGTGCAAGATAATGCATCTTGGGCGTGAAAACCCAAGGGCAGAGTACAGCATATTTGATACCCTACTAACCTCAACATCTGAGGTAAGGGATTTAGGGGTAATTATTTCAGATGACTTCAAGTAAAAAGACAATGTAATAGAGCAGCAGGAAATGCTAGCAGAATGCTTGGTTGTAAAAACTACCACAACAAGAGGACATAGTCTTAAATTAGAGGGGCAAAGGTTTAAAAATAATTTCAGGAAGTATTACTGAGAGGGTAGTGGATGCATGGAATAGTCTTCCAAGTGGTAGAGGTTAACACAGTGAGGGAGTTTAAGCATGCGTGGGATAGGCATAAGGCTATTCTAGACTTAAGATAAGACCAGGGACTAATTAAAGTATTTCGAAAATTGGGCAGACTAGATGGGCCGAATGGTTCTTATCTGCCATCATATTCCATGTTTCTATGTAACTAATCAGTTCCAAAATAAATCCTAATTATTAAGGACATATTAGTTCATACAGACCAAATCAATCAAAATACTAATGCAAAACACTCAGTTCGTCATCTATAACCGCTCTTGTATACGTCGACTAAAGTAAAAATTATCTGCATTAGTATTTAAATGTGTGTATTCTGTATCACTGGTGTCTTTAAAAAAGTTTTTCTTTGAGACTGAAATGTCAATTTAGTTGTGATTACTCACTGCAGCCCTATCCCATAATACATCCCCTACAAATACATACTACATCCCCAGGACACACACATTGCATTTCCCCAACACAGACACACTCTGACTGCCTCTCCAGCACACAGACTGTATCCCCTATACATGGACACTACATCCTCTGCACAAGTACTGTATGCCCTACACACACTCTCTCAATACAGCCCCTAGACACACATACTACACCACAAACATAAAATAAACAGATATATTTACACATAGCTGTGAAGCTCTGTGATATACTACTAAACACATTATTTTAAGATTTTGTGCGTGTCTTTGTGTGCATATCTGTACATGTCTGTGCTTCTGTGTGCTTGTACCTGTCTTCCTGTCAGTGCCTGTCTGTGTTTGCGTGTGCTTGTCTGTGCCTATGTATGCCTGTTTGTGTATGTCAGTGTCTGTGCCTGTGTGTGCTTGTGAATGTCTGTTTATATCTGTGTCTTCCTGTCTGTGTCTATATGTGTGCATATCTGTGTGTGTCTGTAAGTAACTGTGATGTGCCCAAGAGGTGTTTTAACAAAACTCTTGAGAAAGATCTCTTATGGGTTCGAAACATTGCACTTTGATCCAATAAACCTGCTGAATTGAGCCTTGAGTGCTGGACTACAATTTTTGTTCAACTATAACAGGAGGGGTATCCAACCCCAGGTCTGGTTGCACCAGGATTGTAATAAATGTGCTGTATTCCTCTCTTTTTTTGTTTATACAAGAGGTGTTAGGTTAAAGGTACACTCCAGGTACCCAGACCACTTCTGCCCATTGGAGTGATCTGGGTGCCAACTCCCACTACCCTTAACCCAACAAGTGTAATTATTGCAGTTTTTATAACTGCAATATTTACCTTGCAGGGTTAACTCCTCCTCTAGTTGCTGTCTACTAGACACATTCTGTGTGCTATAGCGTCGCTGGACATCCTCACGCTATGTGAGGACCTCCAGCGTCGCTGAAATCCCCATAGGAAATTTTTCATTGCTTTCCTATGGAGAGGTCTAAAGCGCGTGCTGCGCATTCGCATTCGGTCTACCCCGCCAGTGGCCGCGCATTACGTCTCCCCCGCCGGATGATGTTAATCCGGCGGGGGCAGGGCCAGATTAACATAGGGGCTAATGGAGCTGCAGCTCCAGGCCCAAGCCCATGGAATAGGCCCATTGATTTAAAAAAAAAAAAGTTTTTGGTTTTTTACACACTACTTTTAGGGTTGCCAGGTATTTCTTAGGGTTGCCAAGTATTTCTCAGAAGTATTTCTCAGGTATTTGAGGCTGCCTAGCCGGTGCCGGTATTTCAGTAATACTGGTAATACAAATGTCAGTCTCAGTATAAACAGAGATTATTCTGCAATACCAGCGTCAGCCAGTAGGGGTCGCTGTGTGTGTGGAGAGAGGCAGAGATAAGAAGTTACAGCATCTCCCTCCCTGCTCTACTCACTGATCCGCGGGGAGCAGCTCTGCACAGAGTCCAGAAGCAGCTCTAAGCCTGCAGACACAGTGAACAACTCAGGTAAGCGTGGGATGGGGGGAAAGGCTGCAGGGAGACATGGGGACACAGGCACTAGGGGACACTGTGAGACATGGGGACACTGAGACACTAGGGGGCATAGGGAGACCTGGGGACACAGATACTAGGGGAAACTGTTAGAGACATAGGGAAACTTGGTGACACTGAGACACTAGGGAGCACTTGGAGACCTGAGGACACTGAGATACTATGGGAAACATTGAGACATAAGGGCACTTATGGGAACACCTCAAGTGTCTGTGTCCCCAGGTTTCCCAGTGTTCCCTAGTATCTCAGTGTCCCCATGTATCCCAGTGTCCCAATGTTTCTCAATGTCCCCTAGTGTCCTAGTGGCATGGGGACACTGGGAGACATGGGGACGCAGACACTAGGGGACTGGGAGACATGGGGACACAGTCATGCCCCCTTTTTGTGTATATTCGCCGCTTTCGGGAGTTTTGGTTATGTGATTTGCATCAGTGGCCCACCCTTTTACCCCGTCCATAGTCTTCCTGCTTTACTTGACACTGCTGTTAGGGGGTATTGATTTACTTGATAGATGAAAGCATGCGATTAGCATAGGGTATGTATATTCGAATAACTACATCCATCACCATCTCCATCAGATACATGACGCTTGGGAGCTAGGACTGTTTTAGTGTTTTTGGTCGATAAGATTTTGTAATTAGACTTATCATAATTCTCAGCAACAGGCCCACTGGGCTCTTAATCTGGCCCTGACTACAGATAATTATCTTTGGTTTATGTTTGGATAGTTAAAGCTATTTGTCTTTGAATACGTAAAGCAGTGTTTCTCTCCCAAACCATTTCAAACAATTTGAGTCATTTTGATGAAATTATCACTGAAAAATAAAAATAAAATCATTAAAAAAAAAAAAATATTGTACAGACTTATTTTTATATACAATTTATAGTTATAGACAACTATTAAGGATAAATAAAGCCAAGACATTTGATGTGCCTATTTACTTTATAAGGATACCACTAAGCAGTGATGTCATCATGCATCATAATAATCTGAGAGTATCTAACAAGAGTTTGAACAATCTGAAGCCAGTCAGTGTGGAGCTGGGACTTCAGGGTAAACAGGAACTCATCAGAATAAACCAAAACCTTCTGGATAATCTGCTGCATGGACCTAAATAGGATCTGAAGAGGATGGTAATTTATGGGGTAAATAATTCATATGAAATACATTGAATACAGATTCAGGGACAGACTTGTAACCAATCGCCTTAATATGGGGTCAGGAAGGAATTTTTTACTTGGATATTTTACCCATTGTATGTCCAAGTTTTTTCTGCCTTCCTATGGATCACTAATTCACTAAATATTGAATTGTAGCAAATTTATCTGACCAGTTTATTCACTAAACACCACATTTTATCCACATGTGTTTTTGTATTTTTGTAACTCTAACACTCTTAATAAAATTAGAAGACTGGATTCATTATATATTTACTTTTTAATTACATAGGTTACAAAAATACAAAGATAAACAAAATACATTTTAAACACCTTAAAAAGGGGAAATAATATTTAATTGATGAATTTCCATATATAACTGACACTAAATATATATTATCCTCATGCTTCTGTAAATATGCAGTCACAAATATAGTGTCATGTCCCAATAGTAGGGGAAAAGCATATTATGATTTCTAATAATAATAATAACTCCATTCTGACCACATTTCATCACATTTTAAACCACAGTTTTGCACTATATATTTTTTATGATCAAACATACAACATTTACATATGAGTTAGGTCCTCCCCTCACAGTAGAATGGGCAGGAAATAGAACTCTGAAATTGGTATAAATAGATTAATCCCCTCCCCAACAGCTAGTCTTTTTTTCCTGTCCTTCACAGCAGTTTGGAAGGAGTCTGCTTAAGCAGGCCAAGATTTTTCTTCTATGCTCACCAGGCCAATATTTTTGTGTCCCTGCCAAGGTTCAGCCTCTTATCCCTGAAGACCCAGCAACATCACATCTCTATGAGTTGCTAACCTGGGTACCTCCTTTCGTGACCGGGGGTCAGACCCAATCGCTCCCTCAGGGGATGAAAACAGTCCATTGCATACATGCCAGGGTTCAGCCTCTAATCCCTGAAGACGCAGCAACAGCATATGTCTATGAGTTGTAAGCCTGGGTATCCCCTTTAGTAACCCGGGGTCTGACTCAATTCCCTCCTTCAGAGGAGGAACAGTGTCCATACATGAAGCCATGCCAGGGTTCAGTCTCTTATCTCCGAAGACCCAGCAACAGCATATATCTATTACTTGCTAGCCTGGGTAACCCATTTAGTGACCTTGGATCTGACCCAATTCCCTCCTTCAAAGGAGGAAAGCAATCCATACATGAAGCCATGCCAGGGTTCAGCCTCTTATTCCTGAAGAACCAGCAACAGCATATCTATATGAGTAGCTAGCCTGGGTAACCCCTTTAGTGACTGGGGGTCTGACCTAACTCTCTCCCTCAGGGGATGAATGTGGTCCATGGTATACCTGAGGCCCATCCAGGGTTCAGCCTCTTATCCGGAAGACCAATCTCTATGAGTCGCCATCCTGGGTACCCACTTTCGTGACCGGGGGTCAAATCCAATCGCTCCCTCAGGGGATTAAAGCAGTCCATTGTATACATGCCAGGGTTCAGCCTCTTATCCCTGAAGACCCATCTCTCTGAGATGCCAGACTGGGTACCCCATTTAGTGAACAGGGCTCTGACCCAACACTCTCTCTTACGGGATGACAGTGGTCCACTGCAAACATGAGGTCGAATCAGGGTTCAGTCTCTATCAACTTTCGATGCCACTTTCTGTACCTACCATGGTGACCACGGGTAACGGGGAATCAGGGTTCAATTCCAGAGAGGGAGCCTGAGAAACGGCTAACACATCCAAGGAAGGCAGCAGGCGCGCAAATCACCCACTCCCAACGCAGGGAGGTAGTGACGACAAATAACAATACAGGATCTTTAGAGGCCCTGTGTGACGAGACCAATCTCGCCACATTGCATTGGAGAAGCCTGATTGCCCGCCTGCTGCCCCTGGACTATGGCCCCCTTTTAAAAGACATCTTTTTTTTTACCTGCAGAAAAGCTTCATTCGTGCTTTTCTGCCTGGGGTTCGGTAGATTTGTTTGAATGTGTTATACCCCAGATAGGAATCCCATGGCATACTGGGTCCCGGTCGTCTGACCGCCGCCCAGATAGTGTCTGGGTCCCGGTCACCGGATTGCTGCCCTCAATGTGAAACTTCGAATGGCTCGTTAAATCTGGTACGAACCAGAACATTGCAGTTCAGGTTCGCTCAACTCTATTTTGGATCCTTTGATCGCTCCATCTGTTACTTGGATAACTGTGGTAATTTTCGAGCTAATACATGCGCGCTATGGGACAGCCGCTCCACTTTTGCACCCTGCTCCCTCTTATGCTGTGTTGGTGCGTCTGTGCGACCAGCGCCTCTTCCTCCAAACTGCACACGTCACTCGCATGACCTTGATTCCATGTGGGGTCTAGGACCTCATCATCCTCCACATCATCTTCCACCCACTCCTCAACCCTGCCCTCCTTGCCGGTCTGCACACTGCAGAAGCCACAGCAGTTGGCAACTGTGTTTTTCCAGCATGTAAACTCTGCAAAGGACATATGGGAATTGTTTTAGAATTGTATCCAGGCAACAGTTTTCCCTATAAACTGACCTCTCAGTTTGACTTGTGAGGGTATTGCCCCCCGAATTACAATATTGTTATATTGGTACTTGACGGTTCTATTTGACTGTCTGATATGAAGTGCAGGCCGCAAATGTACTATTTAGCACCCCAAAAAATTTGAATTGGTCAAACTGCGCTGTAACCACAGTATTTGACGGTTCTATTTGACTCTCAGATATGAAGTGCACTGGGCTCAGGGCAGGGTACAAAAATGTAGTATAGCACCCACTAAAATAATCGCTGTAGTTTGAATAATCATTGTAGTTTGCAGATTCAACACCAGAATTCTCTCCTAATCTGTTCCTAACAGCTGCAGCATCCTCTCCCTACACTAATAATTGCTCATGTGCGTGCGGCGCTACGCGACTCCAGCTTATATATAGAGGCTGGGTCAGATGCTGCACTGGCCAATCACAGCCATGCCATTAGTAGGCATGGCTGTGATGGCTTCTAAGGGCTAACGAGTCAAACGCTTGTTGATTGGCTGCCCTGCAGCCTTTCAAAACGCGCCATTAAATCGCCAAAACCGAACTCCAACCCAAACATGCACTGAAATGTCTGTGTTGGGGTTCGGGGTCCAAAAGACGTAATGTTTGGTACAAACACGAACTTTGCGGTTCGGGTTCGCTCAACTCTACTGATAATGCAATGATGCATTTTACAAAAGAGTGCTAATAATGCAATTTACAAAAGAGCACTGATAATGCAATGATGCATTTTACTGAAGAGTGCTGCTAATGCAATGATGCATTTACAAAAGAGTGCTAATAATGCAATTTACAAAAGAGTGCTGATAATGGATATCCTGGTTGTATAAAGTCTGCCTGAATACCACAGTCCTGGAGGCCAATACTCTCAGTAACAGAGAGCTTCCCTGGGTGACTGAGCCAATTGTACCTGTACACCCAGTGCATATCAATGGTGAGTGATTGCGTAGTGATAATATATACTTACTAGCAAGCACTCCACTCATTTACTGATGTTGGAGTCGTTATCAGGTCACACAGTATAAGATCTTTTTTGTACAGTTCTGGTGTGGTGTGAGGATCGAACCAATCCAAATGTTGTAGCAGCTTATTCTATGTATCTATTTCTAATTCATTATTTGTTTGTAAAAGCCTCTTTTATCACAGATAGGTTCTATAACATGGTCTCCACTGTAATGAATAACCCGGTGAATATTCAAATTCACTCAAAACAGCCAAGTTGTGACTAATTACTCTGCCCACATTTTGCCATCAGACTTTAATTTGCTACAAATCAAACTTGAATGATTAAAACTGTTCATGAAGATTTTTTTCCTTTTCTATAAAAGGATTTTTTTCTTCATTATAAATAAATTAATTAAATTTAAAGAAAATATTTTTTTGTTGATGATGTTCTTTCAATGTAAAACAACTCCATGGCCCATATACTACATATTTCACAACACCAGAGCCACTACAACATGGTTATTGTACCCAGGACCGGATTAGCCTGGGGGCTGATGGAGCTGCAGCCAGCTGTCCATCTAATTCCTCGTGCAGGCACACTTCTTTTGGGGCATGTTTGTTCCTTTGTGCGGTTCTCGTTACGTGATTCACACACCCTTTTACCCGCCCACCAAAATCCTACTTCACTGGACACTGCTGCTAAGCGGTATGGATTTACTTGAAAGATGAAAGTGAGAGATTAGCATAGGGTTTGTGTTTTCTGATAGGTATATCCTGTGAGTTTCCCTCCAGCACCACCTCCACTAGATACATGACATTTGGGAGGTATAACTGTTTTAGTGTTTTCTGTCGATAATTGTGGCGAAACCGACCTCGCCACTGGGCATTGGAGAAGACTGATTGCCCGCCTCCTGCCATGTGACTATGGCCCCTGGGATGTATTGCCCTTTAAAGATATGATTTGGTCATAATGGATTTGTGTTGTGCTGCTGCTGGCCCTTTAAGAACCATCTGGGGACATACTGTGGAGTTACTGGGTGGCCACCATTTCCTGTATCAGAAGCACATGGTGACTCACAGACACTGTTTGGACTTTTCAACACGGTGCCATCTCGCCAGTATTTGGTGCACAGAGACATCGTGCAGTGGTTTTGGACTATACAGCAGGGGACACATTATACAGTGATTGTTTTTCATTTAGCCTGTATATGTTCTGCAGAATCTGCATTAAACTGTATTTTCCAAAGTACTGAACGGATCTGGATGAATTTTGGATATGTGGTTCACCCAGATCCCCCGGTTCCAAGGATATATTTTTATGGGGTTATTGCATGTTTTGGGGTCCCTGTGATGTGTTTTATGAAACTGTATTTCTCTGTCTGTGATAATTAGATTACCCATTGTGTTCAGTAATCATATCACAGGCAGAGGGGAGGATTTTGTGTGGGAGTGTCTGTGTGTATTGTACAGATTGATTGGTTGTTCTGTAAAACCCTGTGGACAGTACTAAGTTTGTGGATTGGGAATAAAAGAGGCTGTATGTGCCAGTACAGTCAGTTACTGCTTAACCCTCAAAGTGAAGTGTCGTCTCATTATTGGGGGAGGATTTATTGTATGCTGTTCCAGTTTGACTGCTAGGAGTGTAAACCTATTCGCATGGTTTTTCCTATTCAGCTGTATACAACATTCATATGCTTGAGAGCATTCATATGCTTCTCCGGTTCGGTGTTGTGGTGTCTGCTGCAGTGCTTGGAGTCCTCAGGAAGCGCTAGGAGCATCCTTCAACGGAGGTACCCAGTCGGGGTGCCAGGTGATCCGTTACAATAATATTCTGTAATTAGGCCCATCATAATTGTCAGCACCAGGCCCGATGGGCTCTTAATCTGGCCCTGGGCGGGGGAGGAGCGTGGACGGACCTTGAACCAGTGCCGAGGGACATCGGCGCTGGATACAGGTAAGTCACTGAAGGGGTTTTAACCCCTTTAGCAACTTGGGATAGGGGGTGGAAGGGAGAGGGGACCTGCAGTGCCAGGAAAACAGTTTGTTTTCCTGGCACTGGAGAGTCCCTTTAAGCCATTGTTCCTCAAACTTCGGCCCCCCCAGATGTTGCTGAACTACAACTCCCATGATTCTTTGAATTACATAGATAGCCAGAGAATCATGGGAGTTGTAGTTCACCAACATCTGGGGGGCTGGAGTTTGAGGACCCATGCTTTAAGCTGTGGAATTGGGGAGAAGCAGAAGTTGATTTTGGGGAGGGGTTATGTAGGGGTCACCTTTTTCTCTTTTGTTTTCTTTTTTAACCTAGCAGCACCCCATATTCAGCGCTTAACTATTTTCAAGCAGTTCCACATTGAAAAAAGTTCCCTAGCCACCCACAGCCATTGAGGTGTGGCTAAGAAAGAGATTATACTATTTGTTATCCTTACTAATTCATTGCATCAATGGGCAGCTGTGATAGGCAGACAGTGATTAGTTGACAATTTCAGTCAATCACTGCAACCTATTGTTGCTAATGCTTCCTTGCTAGCTATGCAGCACAGAGTACAATTAGTATTAAACTATTGAAAATAGTTTAACACTGATTAAAAGATCAGAGCCAAAGAACTCAGGACACTATTACCACTACAATAATATAAAGAGTTTACAGTGCCTGCCCTACAGCATCCCTGCCACTACAGCAGCCCAGCCACTCTCAGGTTATGTTTCCTTTTATCACTTTATCTAAATTTGCAGTTAGGGATCTGCTTTTTAATCTCTGGATGCCTGACACTGATCATCATATACTTGTATGTTTTGTATAACTTTTGTAAATGGCTGCAGAATATAATTCCCATATTTTACTGTTAACATGACGTCATGATTTTAAAGGACCACTATAGTGCCAGGAAAACATACTCGTTTTCCTGGCACTATAGTGCCCTGAGGGTGCCCCCACCCTCAGGGACCCCCTCCCGCCCGGCTCTGGAAGGGGGAAAGGGGTTTAAACTTACCTTTTTCCAGCGCTGGAGAGCTCTCCCTCCTCCCTCCGTTATCCCGGTTGAATGCGCAAGGCAAGAGCTGCCACAAGATTCAGTTGAAACTCATAGGAAAGCATTTACATGCTTTCCTATGGACGCTTGGCGTGCTCTCACTGTGAAAATCACAGTGAGAAGCACGCAAGCGGCTCTAGTGGCTGTCAATGAGACAGCCACTAGAGGATTAGGGGGAAGGCTTAACCCATTCATAATTATAGCAGTTTCTCTGAAACTGCTATAATTATGAAAAAATGGGTTAACCCTAGAAGGACCTGGCACCCAGACAACTTCATT